AAAGTCTACAGTTGATCCATAATAATGTACCAGTGTTAATCTCTTTGTTTTGACAAATGTACCATGTAATATGAGATCTCAGCATTAGGGTATACTGGGTAAGAAGTATAAGGGAACTCTCTGTATTCTCTTTGCAACTTTTCTATATCATTACAATAAAAATAGTTTATTTTTAAAATATCACTTACAATAGCATCAAAAAATACCAAGGGATAAATCTTACAAGATGTGAAAGACATGAAGACTGAAAAACTGCTAAAACTGCAAAGCACTGCTGAGAGAACTTGTGAAGACCTAAATAAATGGGAAGGTATACAATGTTCATGGATTGCAAAATTCAATATTGTTAAAATGACAGTTCTCCACAAACTGGTCTAGAGATTCAAAGTAAGACAATTAAAATCCCAGCAGTCCTACCCCCAACTCCTTGGTTAGAAATTAACAAACTGATTCTAAAAGTTATACAGAAATCCAAAGCAACTAAAATGGCCAAACCACTTTGAAAAAAGTACAAAGTCCATAGATTTACACTACTGACTTCAAACTTTTATAAAGCTAAAGTAATCTAGAAGAGTGTGTGATGCTGTGAACATAGACAAATAGATCATCAGTACATAACTGAGAGATTAGAAATAGATTCACACATATGATCAGTTGATTCTGACACAGATGCAAAGTCATTTAGTAAAGAAAGGACAGTCTTTTCAATAAATAATCTCAGAACAGTCTGATAATTATATGCAAAAAATGAACTCCAACCCATACATTGTGCCACATATAAAAACTCACTCCAAATAGATCACAGAACTACATGTAAAACTTCATGATATAAAAATTATGAAGGAAAATAGCAGAAAATCTTTGTGCTCTTGTGTGAGGCAAAGATTTCTTAGATACGGCATCAAATCGTAACCCATTTTTAAAAAGGATAAATTAGACCTCAAAAATAAAAAAAATAGAATTACCATGTGATCCACTAACTCAACTTCTGTATATATATACAAAAGTATTTAAAGCAGGGTCTTAAAGAGATATTTGTATGTACCCATATTTATAGTGGTATTATTCACAATAGCCAAGAAGTGAATATAACCCAAGCATCTACAGACAGATGAATGGATAAACAAAATGTAGTATACAGATAGAACGGAATATTATTCAGTCTTAAAATGAAAGAAAATTCTGATATATGCTACAGCATGGATAAACCTCAAAGACATTATGTGAACTGAAATAAGGCAGGCACTAAAAGATAAATACTGTATGATTTTATTTCTTGAAGTATCTAGAGTAGTAAAATTTATAGAAATAGAAAATAGAATGGTGGCTGCCAAGGATGAGGGAGGAGGAAATAGGAAGTTGTTGTTTAATGAGCATAGCATTTCAGTTTTACAAGATGAATTTCGGAGACTGGATGTACAAAAATGTGAATAAACTTAATGTTACTGAACTGCACATTTTAAAATGGTAAAAATGTTAAATTCTATGTTCTGTGTATTTTACCATAATTGAAGATACTCTTAGACTAGAATAGAAGAAAATATTAGCAAATTACACATTTGAAAAAGAATTTGTATTCATAACATATAGAGAGCTCTCAAAACCTAGTAAGAAAATATTATAATTACACCTGTTAATTATACTTGTTAATAATCTAACAGACATGTTAAATTAAATATAATGACCAAACCAAATATTTTAAGAATATGGAACAACTGGAATGCTCAGACACTGATAGTAGAAATAGTACAAATATTTGGAAAACAGTTTGGCAGTTTCTTAAAGTTAAACATATACCTACAATATTACCCAAGTATTTCACACTTAGGTTTATGCTCAGGATAAATGAAAGCATATGTAGAGCTGTACCTGAATGTTCATAGCAACTTATTTGCAATAGCCTGAAACTAGAAACAACCCAAATATCTGTCAGTAGGTGAGCAGTTCAACAAATTGTGGTATATACAATGGAATGCTACTCAATGAATAAAAATGGATGACACATGCCAATAATCTCAAAATAACCATGCTGAGTCAAAAAAAAATAAAATACACACACACACACAAAGAACACATAATGTATGATTCCACTTCAATAAAATCCCAGAAAACACAAAGTGATCTAGGTTAACAGAAAGCAGTCCCATGGTCCCCTGAGGACTGATGGAGGGAGAGAGGGACCACAAAGGAACACAAGGAAAATCTGGGGGATGAGAAATATGTTGATTATCTTGATTGTGGTGATGGTTTTATGGGTGTATACATGCGTCAAAACATTAAATTGTATAATTTAAACTTGACAATATCTTTTCAAAACAAATAAAACCCTACCAAAGAACAATCGGCCTAAGAGGATTCTTCTCCAGACCACAGGACTCTTACGGTCCTCCCAGTTCAAAATCTCTATAATCCAATTGGCACATAAGGGGTTATCCAAAGTACAGCTTGTTTTACAATCTCTAAAATGTGAGTAAATCATCAATAAGGATTTCATAATGTCACTTTTAAAAATGTGAATACTGCCCTGGCCAGTTTGGCTCAGCAGTTAGAGCGTCGGCCTGCGGTCCTGAGAGACCTGGGTTCGGTTTCCGCTAAGGGCACGTATTTCGGTTGCAGTTTGTCCCCCCCTGGTTGGTCGTGCGGGTGGCAGCCACTCGATGTGAAGGGACACATCGATGTTTCTCTCTCTCTCTCTCTCCCTTCCTCTCTCCCTCCCACTCTATCTGTACAAAAAATGGAGAAATATCCTCGGGTGAGGATAAAAAAAAAAAAAATGTGAATACTTATACAGAAGGTAATAAACATTCAGAGAAAACACAATATCTGAGATATAACTTTCATTCATAAGAAACTAATCTTGTACATCTCTTTGGTGGATTAAAAAGATCTGAACTATGGCTATTTATTCCCATTAAAAGAGAACCTGATTACTAGCAATGATGTCAGATTTATCTGAAAAGTAAATTGATCTTTTTAAAAGACAGAATAAACAATATTTAGGGTACAACAATAGTTAATTTTTCTTCCCAATGACTATAAGCGTGAAAGCATAATTTCAGATTTTATGATCCAAATTCAGAGTTGTCTGCACTATAATGTCTAATTAAATATATAAAAAAATAAAAAAATCTGAAATGAGTGCCCATATCAAAAACATCATTTTCTGTCAGTGAAAGGTGGGAGGAAAGATCCAGAAAGCAGAGTAGAAATGCAGTCCATGTTTGTATTAACAACCTTTTATTGTTCCCTTCATCCCATCTAGTTATGAATCTCAGCAGACAGAAATGTGGGTATGGCTTGTAAGATTTTGAAATGCTTTGCTGTTAGCCATTTCTATGTAACACAGGACTTTACCAGTAAATTCCCAAGATGTTTGTTGAAGTAAACAGAAAAGAAGCAAATACAGCAGGTCCTTGAATAATGTCATTTTGTTCGCTGTCTTGCTATAAATGTTGATGTCAGGCCTTAGGAACTTAACTCTTGTTCTATCAACTAGACTATGATAAGTAAAATTGGTTTCTTTATACTTTATACTTTTACTTAAAGTTGCTGAACCTACCAATGACATTAAGTAAGAACTTACTGTAGGTCTTTGAAGGCATTTGGTCATATCTGGATTCTAAATCAGATTTGATTATACATTAAGCCATATGATATTGGTTAAGCACCCTTATTTCTCTTTCTCATCAGTAAAATGAAGTTAGTGCACGCACACACACTTTAAAAAAAAAATCCTCCCTAAGGATATGTTTTCATTCATTTTAGAAAGAGTGAAAGGGAGAGAAGAAGAGAAGGAGGAAGGGGGTGGGGAGAGAGAGACACACACATCAATGTGAGAGAGAGAAACAGATCGGCCGCCTCCCACATGCACCCTGACTGGGAATGGAACCTGCAACCTGGGCAAGTGTACTGATTGGGAATCAAACCCTCAACCTTGTGGTTCATAGGACGATGCTCCAACCAAGTGAGCCACACTGCCCAGGCACACACACAAATTCTTATAGTCAAGTGTAAAGGACAGGAAATTTGCAGAATGGGAGAGTTCTATATTCAGTCCAATTACCAACTATCCAATGCAACAAACTTTCAATGAGTGGTCTCTGTCGCGGAAAAACTGTCGGATGCTTTAGATCAGAGATTAATGAGTAAGTAGTTTGGTCTCCACTTAAAAGGAATTAAAACAAAAACACTAAAAACAGAAAAAAAGTTCCTGCCTTTGAAGAACTGACATTGCAACTGGTGAAACAACTACAACACAATTAACAAAAACTACAAATTGGGATTAGTTTGGTTCTATGAGATGCAACTGTAATGGGGAACTCAGGAGGAAACACCACTGCAAGCTCACTAGCTCGAGTTGGAGAACTCTGTCATGTATACTGAAAACCAAGAGGATATTACAGAGAACGCTCTACTAGGCAGGCGAAATCCAAGAGGCTGGAGTTTAAGTGAGTCTAACCTAGTCTTCTCAACACTCAATAATTATAAATAATAACTATAGCTATTTATACCTCAAAGATAGTCTAAGTCAATCACAATAGAGTCTTTTAAATGACAGAAACACATAAAATTTTGAGATTATTTTATTTGGCATTATTACAAATAGTATTTTTGCATGATTCTAAAAGTAACAGAAATCCATTTTTTCCCCTAAAACTATATTTCAGTTTTATTTGATTTTGATATTAGCTTTGGTAGAAAACATTGCTAGTTATGATTTACTACCTATATGCTTGCCCTACTATATTTTAATGAAAAAATAAAATAAACCTTTTAAACCCTTCACACAGGCAAAATGAAAAATAGTGCTGTTAAGTACAAAAACATATTAACATTTTTAGCAAGGTCACTAATACTTTTTTTATTTGTTCTCCATTTGAAGCAGAGCATTTCTGAAAAAGAAACGTGTGTGTGTGTGTGTGTGTGTGTGTGTGTGTGTGTGTACGTAGGCAAGATGGGGATGGGACCATTTCTTCCAGACTTCCTATTGAGGTACTTACAGTGCTGATCACAATCAACTCTGGCAAACACTACTTGATTTTCACTTGGATATTCTTCCTTAATTACATTGGAAGCTTCCTCAAAAATTGGATGCAACATCTGGCTGAAACGACACCTATGCACAGAGAAGGATACCAATTAAAACTGAAAAGCAAACTCAATAAAATCTTATTTCAGTTATCCATTGATATTTAGCATATATACAATAAACAGCTTTTCAGACAATTACAGTTAATTTAGTGCTCAATCCTGATGTCATTCATTGGAGAAGAAGACAATTTTGACTTCAAAGACTGTACAAATAAATAAAATATTTGCGATTTTTTTTTAAATATATTGAAAAAAAAATCCATTAATATTATGGAACACACAGCTAAGTCTCTCTCACAAAGGCTATGAAACAAGCCTAAAATAAGCCCTCTAAGATGTATCTACTTGGACTTGCAACTATTCAGACTTAGCCATTTATAAAAGAAATTAGCTTTCTCGAAATAATGAACATATTTTTATGTTTAGACTACTGTTCAAAATCTTTAAAATGGTAAGTTTATTGCAAATATTAGATCAATTCACCTGACCAATCATATTTCATAGGCAAGTTAGCATACTAAATAAATTGTATGAAAAGGATATATAGTATATGTTGTATGAAAAGTATATATAGTATATAATAAACTGCTTCCCCTCAAAATTTGCCCCTGGTTAAAATGGGCTTTTGTATTTATAAACATTAAATATACTAAATCCAGGAGAAAAAATTTAAATTCCTAAACAAGATTTCCTGTCCATATTTCCTTTGCCATTTTTGTTTTATTTTTACTTTTAAAAAGGGGCATAAATCCCACAATATTCCAGAAACTCGACACTTCTAATTCTGACTGCCCCATAATCAGGCCAACCACTTCACAAATACATGCTGTGGGTCACTAAAGGGACCTGATAAAGGGAAAACAAAAATCAGAATCAGCACACAACCAGCTGGGTTAGAATGGTCATTCTCATATGAAAAAGGTATTGAGAATTTGTTAATAAAAAACAAACTATAATTGCTACTGTTGCTTCCAGAGCCCTTTCTATTGAGAAATTTACTTAAATGAAGCCTGTGAACTCTTTAATTCATATGTGACTAGGTTGTACATATTAACCACAATTCAATAAAAATATTACAAAGCCAGTGAAAGGATGTAAAGTTTATACTCCCTCCCTATTTCTTTTTGTATATATCTCTTCTAGCCCACTCACCTGACTTCCTAAGGAGACACAGTCAGTATCTTCAATCTCTTGTTTTCAAGTGGCTTTTTCCTCTTTTAGCATTCTTAAATCTCTCCCATCTGGGATAAGTGGGTGGGGTCTGTGGACATCAGGGACCGTGTCTTATTTGACTACATATTCTAGTAAGCATTTCAATAGATGTCTATTAAATGAATAAACTGACAGAATGGAAGAACTAGAGAGGCTAGGACCCAGGTTTATGGGTTCTTATAGTTTGCTAAAAATAAGGTGCTGGAGGACAAGGAAGACAATGGGTATGAACTGATTAACAGTTTCTTGAAGAAGTAGGATACTGCCCAGTAAAGATTCCATAGATAGGCTCCTGGCTTAAGGGCAAGGTAAAGACCCACATTAAGAACTCCTTTTTTCTGGACTATCCAGTCTGCTACCCAGTAAGCATTTAAGCACAGGTTTTTGTTTAAAGTAGGATGTTTTAATAACAAAGGTAGAAGGGGAAGATGAAATAAAAGTCCAGTTGCAATATTACTGAACCTTCATACACACATTCCCATACAAAGTTACATTTATAAAAGTAACATAACAAAAGCAATAGATCTGTTCAAAGGACCTTAAGAATCATCTGAATCCAACGTAATGCTTAAATCAACCTTTTACAAATCAACCAAATGAGTAAAAGTCTTTTTGCAGGGACAATTTGGAAACCCTTACTAGTATGACCTAGTGAAGAAAAATAATAAACTTTGAAGTAAGACATACCTGAGTTTAATATCCCAGTTCTACCACTTACTGAACCTTGATTTCCTCAACCTAAAATGTAAATCATGATACCTACCTGCAGGGTAGTTCTGAGCACTGAAAATAATGTGTGTAAAGAGCCTGGCAAATAACAGCATTATTAAGTACATCCTATGGTTTATTACCTTCTGAGGCATATCAGTTTTCTTAGGCAGCTCTGTTAGAGTTCTTCCTTAAACTGTGTCACATTCATATCTTCCCGAGGGAACTCAGAATCTAGCCTTTGAGGCTACACAGTGTATGTCTATGTCCTACAGCCAATGACCTAAGCTTTTCTCAGTTGAAAGCGAGTGTACGAATTCATAAACAACTCAAGGTATTTTGGGGGGTGATATGGTTTCCCAAATAACTGCAATTAGCCCACATTTCCAACTCAGTTTTTGCAACAAGGTCAGTGACACATTCTAGTTCTCTTTCCTACGACACATCAAATCCCTTAATCAAGAGAACTGAGTTCTAGTTTTAACTCTGCCACAATCTAGTCAGGTAACCTTGGGAAAATATTCCTCTGGATCTCAATTTTATTAAAGAACTGGACTAAATAAGCTTCTACCTAATTTAACTTGAAAATGCTACCTTTATTATACATTTTATAAGTGGTGTTTTCTCTGTATATCTTAAACATTCATTCATTAAATACCTATACATCATTCATTCAGTAAATATTAATTATATACTTATCTGCCAAGTATCATGCAAAGTGCTTGGGGATTAATGCTGAAAGAAGACATGTGGTAACTTTTCACAAAGCTAACAACAGTAGGGAGCTCCCAACTAGACAATAGCACATGAGTGTTGTGGTTGGGTACATACAGGGTATTATGGGAAGATAGAAAAAGGGTTCCTAACCTGCCTTGAGAGGAGAAAGAATGACCTGGAGAAAGTGACATCTAATCTAAAGTTTGAAAGATTATTAAAATTTAACTAGGTAAATAAGTAGATAAGAAAAGAGTGAGCCATTCAGGCACAGAAAACACCATGACCAAAGGTGATAAAAGGCTATAGAATATTACTCAAATGGAAAAACAGTCAATATAACTAGTACAGCCTGCCTGGGCCAGTTTGGCTCAGCAGTTAGAGCGTCGGCCCATTGACCAGAGAGTCCCGCGTTCGGTTCCGCTAAGGGCACATACCTCAGTTGCAGTTTGTTCCCGGCCCCGTTGGGATCATGTGGGTGGCAACTACTCAATGTGCCTCTCTCACATCGATGTCTCTCTCTCTCTTCTTCCCTCTCTATCTGAAGATAAATGCAAAAATGTCCCCGCGTGAGGATAAATATATATATATAACTAGTACAGAATGTAGAAGTAGAGAAAGGCAAAAGATATAGATGTGGAGGCGGGAAAGGACCCGGTCATCAAGTAAGAAGAGACTTACCTAAAGTCTACCTAAGGAAAACCATTTAGGGTTTTAAGATGAAGGGTAAACTGATCCCATCTGCACTTTAGGAAAGACAACTCTGGCTTACTTTGTAGAGAATAGAATGAAGACACAGAAGACTAGAGGCAGAGAAAATAAATTAGGAGGCTGTTCCAGGAATCTAGCTAAATTGCAGGACTATGGCCTGAAACAGGGTAGTGCTAACTAGTAGGTGGTTAACCTAAGAGGACCAAATAAGATACAGATTGTTTAGGAATGAGGATTATGTGAGTGTTTCAAACTTCTCCCTAGCTGAAACTCCCTCCTTCCTGTCCCATCTACTACTTATTATGCTCTTGTTCTAGATGCTGGGAATACTGAGTAAGACATTAGGACACAAACAAAGATAACAGACAGAAAAATGTAGTAAAGGAAAAGAAAGTGGTAGACAGGGTACTACAGGAATACAGAAGACAGAATCTGATTCAAACAGGGAGGGAGGCTTCCTAGAAGTAGTAATAGATGGTATGTGTTTTAAAATGTCAATATTATTTTTCCTTCTAAACTTGCCACACTGACATGCTCATCTCCAAACACTGCCCTACTTCCTCAATCAGGAAAAATATAGAATTGCGATATGTACTCGTGTGTGTGTGATATGGGGGGGGGGGGGGTTGCTAAGTCTTTATGTTATCTGTTTTCATTTTAAGATGTGGGATAATGGAATCGAGTATTTCTCTCTTAAAACAAAAGTGCTCACCAAATTAAGCTTCTTCATTTGTGAATGAACCTTAATTGATTTTGTGTATAGACTATTGTCTCACAAAGTAAAAAAGCTTCCCCACTCACCCCTTTCTAGAAAAGAAAAATTCACCTTTAGCAAGTTAAATCACAGAAATAAGGTTATTACTTACCAGTCAGCATAAAAATTTACTAAAGCAACATCAGCATTTCCTGAAATTGAAAAACAAAACCAAACAACCTAAGTTATTTGTGTCGACATAATTTTGACATAATTAAAGATGTGGTTTTCATCATGGTCTGTTTCCATTGTAAAGGTCCACTAAAAATACAATGACAAGTTATCTCTTGTTCAGAAACCCATACATATATAGTCATGGACAATTTATATTATTTGTAGCAGTCCCTGCTCCTTCTCTCTATATCCTCCCTCTTTAAACCTTCACAGAATGAATGTAAAACAAAAGGGAATCAGACCCAGATCAGGCAAGTAGGCTAGTAAATAAACAAACTACTCTCATAAAAAGTGAAGTGGAATGATCTGGATTTTAATAATCTATTTTTTACCTTCCATATTTATGAATAACTGAGAATTAGCTCTGTAAGTAAAAACCTATTTCACAGAACAGACCTGAATAACTAAGCTCAGATGCCCTACCTACTTGCAACAGATTCAGTTAATACTATCAGGTAAAATGTACTCTTTCTGTTTCCTATCCACTTAACAGTTATTCTCTGTTGAAAAAATAACAGTATTATCTGCATATCCAGATATGAAGACATGAGAAAGATTTGTTCCTCTCTCCTACACCTAATACAGACAGAAACTCCTCAAGTACTCACAAAAATAAAACACAAAGATATTCTAGAATTTGGAAGGGTAAAGGTGTGAGAATATGTGAGTTTCAATTTTCTTCTTCCATTTTTACCTTCTGCTTATTCACTCTACAACAGTGACTCACAAACTGTGGTCCCTGGACTAAGAAGCACCAGCATCACATAGGAACTTACAGAAATACAAATTCTTAGGTGGAGCTCAGCAGTTTCTATCAGAAACTGGGGGCTAGGCCTACAGTACAGACAGTAGTAAGTCCTCCAGGTGATTCTGATATATGCTGAAGTTTATAGAACCATTGCTCTAAAGAGATCCCATAAAGTGGGAGAAGACTTTTAGCATTTAAAACCAATTCCAAGAATATAAAACAGTGTATGATGTTCAATGAATAAACCCCTTTACCTCTATTATTTTTGGTTTTGTTCTGCTCAAATTAGTGGGTTGAAATGGAGTACTTAAAAATCATTTATGCCCATTGTAGATTTTCTTAAATCTCCTAAATTGTGATTTTCTGTCAACCACATCTCCACCCTCCCTCTATTACTTTTTTATGAAACATGTTTTTATTGGTTGCAGAGAAAGGATGGGAAAGGGAGAGAGAGATAGAAACATTGATTGGCTGCCTCCTGCACGCAGCTTGCTGGGGATCAAGCCGACAACTAAGACATGTGCCTTGACTGGGATTTGAACCAGCAACCTCCTGTTGTATGGGACAATGCTCAACCAACTGAGCCCCACTGGCCGGGCTTCCCTCTACTACGTTTTAGAAGAAGAAATGTTTTCCCCAAAGTTAATTGTATCCACAAGTACACTGTCAGAAAACAAAGCATTCAGTAAAACATGTAGTAAACTTAATTGGACCTATGACAATAAAAGAGATCAGAATAGGTGATTCAGTTAAAAGTTTAAACAGACAGAAAATTCTGTGTCCTAGAGTCATTAACATATACAAGAATTTTTAGGAGTGGTATTTATACAGACAAGGCAAAGAAATAAAACAGGACTAAAAGTTTACTTTACTTGTAACATACTTCATGAAATTTTACTAAAAATTAAAACCGAAAGTGCTTTGTTAATTCAGTAAACCATGAAATTAATCAGAATTCCAGCTCCTCATTTGTTCTAGTTTATACTCAAAAACAAAATAAAATCTCAACTCTTTATGGAGAAGAAAGTATACTTAAAAAGTATCAAAGTACTTACTTAAAATGTCATCTATATTCTCTGTATCAAGACTTGTTATTTCAGTTGTTACAGGAGTAAAAACCCAAGTTACCTGGAAATTTCAAAAAAGTTGAAATTAATAAATGTTTCCACAAAAGGCAAATAATGAAGAAAGTCTAAAAAGAAAGTTTAGGAATAAAATTGGTTCCATTTAGTAGTTACAAAATCATCCCTCAATTGGTTTTAATCTTTCTTATCTACTCTAATCCTTCACAAGATCAATGAAATTGGAGAAGGGCAATTTTCCTATACTTTCAAATATATATAAGAGATTATTTCCAAATAATTAAGTAAATTGAGAATTTACTCTTTTAAACACTTTCAACAACTTTATCTACAGCACTACAAGGAAAAAAAAAAGTGCCAGGTGATCCTCAGTTTTGAAAAAATACAAAACCAAAGCTAAGTTTGCTGATTCTATCGTACCACATTTCTAAGACAAAAAATAAAGAAAAGAATTCAAAAACACTTCAAATTGTGATTTAAAAGCCCTACTTATCTCATCTTCACTTACTGGTGGTAACAATGTTAAGTGGGAGGCTATTAAAAAGAGAGTAAAGCCCTGGTAGGTTTGGCTCAGCGGTTAGAGTGTTGGCCTGCAGACCAAAGAGTAGTGGGTTCAATTCTGGCCAAGGGTATGTACCTTGGTTAGGATTCGATCACCGGCTCTGGTCAGGGTCATGCGGAAGGCAACCAATCGATGTGTCTCGTTCACATCAATGTTTCTTTCTCTTTCTCACCCACCCCTCCGACTCTATCTGAAGATAAATGGAAAAATATCCTCAGGTGAGGTTAAAAAAGAGAAAGAGAGAAAGAATGTTTTGCTTCCACTTTAACATGTCTGAAACATCAAGTTCAAGTTTATTAAAGAAAATTTCAGCTTGCTATCTACCAAAACAAGGAAAAATGCAATCATAAACTAACCTAGCAGCTGTTCACGTATTTTAAAAAGTATTATTTAGCCCTGGCCAGTTTGGCTCAGCGGTTAGAGCGTCGGCCTGCAGTCTGGAGAGACCCGGGTTCGGTTCCCGCTAAGGGCACGTACTTCGGTTGCAGTTTGTCCCCGGCCCTGGTTGGTCGTGCGGGTGGCAGCCACTCGATGTGTCGCTTCACGTCGATGTTTCTCTCTCTCTCTCCCACGTCGATGTTTCTCTCTCTCTCTCCCTTCCTCTCTCTCCCTCCCACTCTATCTGTACAAAAAATGGAAAAATATCCTCGGGTGAGGATTAAAAAAATAAATAAATAAATAAAAAGTATTATTTAGTGTATTTTATCTTTAGGTTCCTTTTTTAATATACTATGTGTTTTGATGCCTGGACAGTTTTTTGTTCAAACCAGAGCTTGTGTATGGAAATTCATTCACTGAACCATTGCTCTTTACTGAACAACTAATGTTAGGCACACTAATCAAGGTACAAAAGACTACTCCTTTACCCACCCATTTCATGGACACGTCAGTACTCACAATGGTTACAACTTAAACATTTTATAATTCACCTATAATTCAATTGCTAAATGGTACAATGAGATGTGTTGATGCTGGTTTGTAAATAATCCCAGCTAATTATTTAAAATTTTCTATAAATTTATTCATTTCTTAGGAAAAAAAACTAAAAATAACACGTCTATTTTCAAGCTACCACAATAGTGTAACCAACAGCTAACTAGTATTTCTGCTAGCAACCCACAATTATACTATCCTAAAAGTAAGCTAGATCATTTAAAATCCCAGAATATTTGACCCGTATAACTAATTTCATTATTTTTAACACCTCAAATACTGTCAAGGTCAGACTTCCCTCACTAGTCATTACTCACTCAATTAACAGGTCCTTCCCTTATCAGTGTGAGACCAGCTCTAGATAACAATGTAACTTTTTTATTATTTTTATGTTTTTATTGATTTTTTAGAGGAAGGGAGAGAGAGATAGAAACATCAGTGTGAGAGAGAAACACCAAGTGGCTGCCATCTGCACGCTCCCAACTGAGGATAGAGTCCGCAACCCAGGCTTATGCCCTGACCAGGAATCGCACTAGGACTTCTCAGTCCATGGGATGACATTCAACCGGTCGGGCAACTATGTAACTTTTAAAAGATAACCTGAGCCCTGGCCAGTTTGGCTCAGCGGTTAGAGCGTCAGCCTGCGGTCCAGAGAGACCAGGGTTCAGTTCCCGCTAAGGGCATGTACCTTGGTTGCAGTTTGTCCCCGGCCCTGGTTGGTCGTGCGGGTGGCAGCCACTCGATGTGTCCCTTCACGTCGATGTTTCTCTCTCTCTCTCCCTCCCACTCTGTCTGAACAAAAAATGGAAAAATGTCCTCGGGTGAGGATGAAAATAAATAAATAAATAAATACATAAATAAAGATAACCTGAGGCATATTAAAAATTTTAAAGTTTAAAAATTAAAAAGTTTATTTGAGCAAATACCGACTCAAATCAGGCAGCATCCAATCTAGCAGATAAAAAAGAACTCTAAGGAGCTGTACAAAAATGAAAAACTTTTATAGGCAGTAGGGGTGGGAACAAGGAAGTTATACTAGGTAAAATAATGAGTTGGTTATTGCCAATTTACTTTCTTTAAAGGGTAGCAGATAGCAGGGATCTATCTATCAGGCAGATTACCTAAATGTGCTCCTCAGGCAATTCCGGATTGACTGGTTTAAGTTTCCATTGCAGAGAACTGAAACTGTAATTCTCAGTTTGCTGATGTAGGGCTTGGCATAAGTGACTCCACTTTAGGTCTGGTGCTCTTGTTTTAAACAAACCCAATTATATTGGTCAACAAGCCTATGTACTGGAAAATTATTCAAGAATCTGATGCAAAAATATCATAAAGCAACAAGTTGGTCATTACCAAAGTCAAGTCATTAGATAACACAAACGTCATTTATAGAGTGCTCTCAGTACCTAGTAGAGGTATAGGTATACTCTATCTCAAGCAGTGCTCGAACTAGTGATGGTGTAATTAGGGGAGAAAAATGTAGAAAAGATGTAATAAAAGATCTTAGTTGTACAATCCAAGGAAGCTCGTTTTTGAATAGTTATTACCTATCAAAATACATGTTTACAGAGAACTATAGTCTAAATTTAATTGCTTTTAGATGCTAGTTAACAACAAATATGAGACAACCAAGAATCAATTTGGCTGTATTAAATGGGTAACAATTACTTAAGAAACACTGTGTTAATGAACATGCAACAGATAAGACTATTCAGCTAACTATTGTGGTTAAGAGGGTCCAAAGCAAAAAAGCTGTCTCTGACCCAATAATCTCTAGTCAGTCACCGTAAGGTATAAAGGAGGTGCTTATCATGAACATTTCTATTAATATGCAGCATTAAGGAAAAGACAAGCTGTTTACTTGAATTGTTAGCAAGCTCCACTAGTCTGACAAATTGCTTCTTTTCATGTCAGCCCTGGGCAGAAGAAACAAGATTCTCCTGGGGAAACATCTTTATGTGTCAAATGCTATAGCTGCTTAAGCAAAATAAAGACAAGTAGCTCTAAACCAGGAAGGGATGAGGGTAGTCATTAATTTAATTTTTAAAATACTTCATGATTATATATTTACGTATGTTGTCTAAATATATAATCATAAAGTATTTTAAAAACTAGTCATTCTCTTCAGTTAGCTCATTTGCTTGCAAAAAATAAAAATAAAAGAGAGGCATCTCTAATCATCTTCCATAATTCATTAGGTAATTCCTTCCACATGCATTTATTGTACCAAATATTAAAATTCCAGTCGAAAAAATGTGTCTAGTGATATCTTATATAAAAGACATATCAGTGAAATGGTAAATATTGCACCAAATTCATTTTAAAATGACAGGCTTGCTTTAAATAGGAGCTTCTTCAGCAAGTAAATAATATTTTCTTCCATTACATGGATTTTAAACATTGAGGTATCTTTGGGAACTAAAACGCTTTCCTTTCCTTAAATTTCCCTGTACCTTCCATGCCCCCTAACTGGTTAGTGATGCCAGCACACTGGGTGTATTTCCACAGCATTTTCGAAGCCACCTACCAGCTAGTTGCTTTCCCCAAAACATGCCTAGAATTTTTCTGCTTCCATCTCTCTGCGTACATGGTTCCCTCTACCTAGAGTGTCCTCTTCTCCACTACTCAATAATCAGTCCTTCAGTCATAGATTCCCTCTTCCATTAAACTTTGTGTTTTTTCCAGGTAGAAATGCCTTTTCTTTCTCAAAAGCCTGATCTACTCCACAGGGATAGAAAAAGGGAAAATGTAGGCTAGGAAAATAGAAGTTACTGTGAAATTAAAATTCTCTCTAGATTAGTCATCAAGTTGAAACAAGATACAATGAAAATCTGATTACATGATAACAGTACTTTAGAAATAAATTTTGGAAAGATTTTGATTAAGCACTTTCTCTCAATGTGAGTCAGACTCTGTTCCAGTATTACCAGCACTAGCATGCATAGAATGCTCTGGCACTCTCTGCCAAGCCCCAGTGCTATTCCTTTAGAAAAAACATTAACTGAATAATCATTAACTCAACAGGATCTTCTTCAGAAGAATGAACTAACATCAATAACACATATTGAGAGTGAATTATTAAAGCTTCTCTGTTCATAATTTTATAAATAAAATTTTCCTAGTACCATTTAGGATCATTCACAAACTAGCTTTCCTAAGTCATATCCTACTGCTCCCCATCCATAACCTATACTCCAACAAACATAAACTATAGTTAGAGTAACCAATCTAGTTGGCCATATACTCTAGCTTGAGACAAACCCAGTTTATGCCTGTTGTCTTGGAATATTATTAACAGCACCACCCCCTTTCAAAAGGGTCCCAGTTTGGGCAATAAGTTGTATGGCCACCCTATTTGTAGCAGTCCCTTGGCAACTGAGAGGAATTTTAACAAGCTCTTCACTAATCCTAAATTATTAATAAACATATAATGCCCTCCCATATAACTTACAGTAAAATGAAAAATGGAATGGAAAATAAATAGGAGCTAAGATATAATGCTAAAACAATCACTAGGCTCACTCACTGACTTGAAACACCAGGTTCTTAGCAAGGGTATAAAATCAATAACTCAGAAAAGTTACTACATGACCCTTTGTATCTCGCAAATGGTCCAAATCTGGTAAGTTACAAATCCAAGCATGCAAGGCATCTACAGTACTTGCACTTCCTAAACTGTGTCGTCTTATTCTCTTGCCTTCATACTTGGCTAGTATGGTTTCCTCTCTGCTTGAACAGCTAGGAAAGTCTGTCTAGTTTCCAACACCTAATTCAAAAGCTATCTTTTCTAAGGCTTTCCTGATGGTCCCAGACAACAGTGATTCATTTCTCTCTCCTCTGACCCCTTAGAGCACTTTCTGTAGGGTGTTAATATTACTTTTCACACCAGTTATTTGTGCTACCTTACCTCCTGTAGGCGACTCTGAGTACCTTGAAAGTAGAGACTGTACCACCTTATTCAATTTCATATCCCAGAAATCACTTACTACAGTACCCTATTTGTGTATAATAAGCACTCAAATATGTGCCAAGTGAATGAATGAGTAGATTATGTTGATACACTAAGAACTAGGGGGTGGGGAGGGTTGGAGTTGAGAAAAGAGGGAAAGTTATTCAGAAATAGGATAGCAAATAAATATCTGTAATGTATTTGAAGACAAGGTTATCATATAGGAATGAAGTCTATATTAAAATGCGTAGTGGCAATAAAGCACACTAGGTGATGATTCATAGGCTCAGATTCAGAGGGGATCTCAGAAGTGATCTTCCCACCCACTGCTGAAATCCCTGTACCTCACTGTTTAAGAGTTGTCATGAACCTCTAGTAATGCCTGAGCTGTTCTCTGGCATGATTTTTAGATACTTCAGCACACAGAACACCCACATTTCAGAATAGCTATGTTACATTAGTGGATAAAACTCCAATACATTTTGTACTGCCCTATTTTAAGGTTGTTAATTCAGTCATGAAAATAAATGTCTTGGGACTTTCAGGATCAGAAGCGAATCAAATACCAGGCAGAAGAGGTCATTAAATATTATTTCTGCTAGCAAAATTTATAGTCATAAAAGCATCTGCTAGGTTTTGTTTTAAGTGTTTTATTAGAAAATCTCAGTAAATCAGTTTGGATAACAAGGAAATATTTCCAGTGAGTGAGTCTGTTTGTTTTAAAGCTCACTACCTTAAAATCTTGCTATTCAAATAGTGGTGTCTGAACCAGCAACTTTGGCATCACTTGAGAGCTTGTGAAAAATGCAGACTATCAGGCCCCACCCCAGACCTACTGAATCACAATCTCCATTTGATAAGATTCCCTAAGTGATTCCTATGCACATTAAAGTTTAAGAAGCACCACTTTAGAGAACAAAGCTTTTGACTCTACAAGCAAGCATGTAGTAAATTAATTTTAAATGCTGGACAATGATTTTGGTCCTCAAATATGAACATAAGAACAAGTAAGACTCATTTGTGAGAATTCTGCATTGACATGCAAATTAGTGAGATTTTTAGAAAAATGTGGAACCTATAATATCATCAAAAATTTACATAGATGTTAATTTTTAAAACCATACTGCCTTTTGCTTAGATAGCTATTTCTGCCTCAAAATTATTGGCATAAAATAGAAGCTTCAATAGAGAATGTTTCCTTCCCTGTGGCATTACTGTCCTCAGTTGGCATTACATCTGCTGGGCATTTTGCAGTAACAGCTTAGTGTACTTTTGTGACATCTTTCAATTACCCACTTTCTGTTGGGAGCTTTTCAAAGCCCTTTACAAACAATGTCTTTCCTGTAGCAAGAAATAAGTAATGTACCAGGCACCAGCTCCCTTCCATTTCTAATCCAGATTGACAAAGCAGCCTCCCACCAATGCCATGGGACCTAGACCGTTTGTCCTCCCTGGGGCCACTTCTCTCATTCTGAGTTTTGTATGAAGCTGGCAGGCAGTAAAAGCCTAGAGGTTTGCAGCTGGCTGCAAGGAGCTAAGAGATATGAAAGGTCCCAGGAGAAAAGAAGCTGAGGCTGACAAGCACTGTAAGAGCCTTGAAGCTGAGTATCAAGCAGGGCACATCTCACTGTTAGTATTCCCAGAAGCATTATAATGAACTAGAAGTTCAAAGAGAGGGGAAAAATAAGACTAAGTATAGAATAACACTGGGAAGTTTCTTTAACCCTTAAATTGCTCAGTGATAACAACCAAGGTTCCTACATTATCAGTGCAACCCATTTGAACAAGTCAGAACCAATCTGCTTTTATAAAGAAACATTAGAACAGTTACATTTTTTTTCTTTATTGATTTTTAGAGAGAGAGGAAGGGAGAAGAGAGAGTTAGAAACATTGATGAGAGAGAACATCGACTGGCAGCCTCCTGCATGCCCCCCACTGGGGATTGGGCCCACACCCCGGGCATGTGCCCTGACCGGGAATCAAGCTGGTGACCTCCTGGTGCATGGGTAGATGCTCAACCAGTGAGCCACACTGGCCAAGCACGACATTCTTCTTTAAATAACTTAAAATATGATGGGCACAGTGATGTTTGTAAAAACAAATTCTATGCAAAAGAAAAACCAAATATAGATAATATAACCCCTAAAACTCAAATTCCGCCAGTAAGAAAAATTAGAAAATAAAAATAAAAATTGTTGCAATTCATACTTTTTCCTGCTTATTAGTTATTTGATTGTGCATGGATTTCAATTAAAAACTAATGTCTCCTTGGCCAGTTTGGTTCAGTGGTTAGAGCATCAGCCCAAAGACCAAAGGGTCACAGGTTCG